CTTCGCATTAGCTCTCGTGTGAACGCAATCTAATTCACATTAGTTTAATTCGCATTAGTTTACTTCGAATTAATTTACTGCGAATTAAACTCTCCGTGTGAACAGGGCATTAGAACCATTTTTAGATTACCTGAGCTGAAAGCTCAAGTGAACTTTTCTGATTACATTTTTTCCGCCCTCTGCTAACTTTTAACGTTTTTGTCTTCTTCTCCAGGCCAATTTCAACCAAACTTGCCACACTGCATCCTTTTCACGGTATTATCAAGAATGTATTGAAACAGGCATATAATCAAACATGACTAAGTGTTGTGGAATTGGCCTTTTTTAATTATGCGCCCGAGGTTAGAGTTGGGTCGACATTAGAGATCTATATTTTACCTAATGCATGTGTACAAGAAAAAATAATTGAGGGGGGGGGGGCAGTGGTTCTCTAGCACCTAAAATGGAAACAATATGAAATAATGACATGTTCGAGATGGTTACGCCTATGCTTTCTTGCAGATAAAATAAATCGAATTATATTTAGACGCATTTGAAAACTATAGTTTTCTTATTTCTCGGTAATCATCCCACATAAACTCCCCAGAAACATTAATGGTACGACTTAATGTTGCAAAAGGTAAACTTCCGGAGAGGTAAGGTCCAATCTAAATCAGAAATCTTCTTGTTTTTTAAAAAAAATGTTGAATATTTGACAAAATGTTGAAAATTGTAGTACATTTGTGACAACAGGAATTTTATTCATACTAGAAAATGTTATATACATATCATTTTTGAGTCTTAGAATGAAAGAAAGATGAAAATCAATATTGTCATGTCAGTCAATATATCCACGATAGTGTATCTGTGTATCATAATCTAGAGTAGATACAAGTATTAGCTTTCCTAAAAAGCTTGTCTGACGGGAGCAAAAATTTATTACGCTAAGTTAGAATCAAGAAAAGTTAAATCCAATGTACTCAACATGATTCCGAGTCCAGAAATAAGTTATTTTGCTAAGAAACAAAAGTTCAATTAAGTGGCATCAACATAAAATAAAACTTGGACACAGATTTGTTCCATATAAACTATATTAATTATTACTTGTAATTTCTTTTTTTTTCCATGGCCGTAGGAATGGGGGGGAGGATTCGGGGACAGTACCCCCAATAATTTTGCCGATTTATATACATAGCTACTTTATGCTTAAATTGTGTACCCTAAACCATATTTATCTTTTATATGCTCGGTAAGGAATTTTTCCTTGATAGTGCCCACCCAAATCTGAAAATGTTTGGCTGTGCAACACCCCCACCACCACCACCGCCGCCACTGTAAACTTTATTCCAACGGGCCTGATCATGGATACATTATAACTGGTGCTTTTGAAAAAAGGTTACAACCCATAAAAAATGTATACATAAACATCAGTAGTTGAACAGTTTTGAAAATTATAAAATATTAAATTAAAAAAATAAAGGTGTTAAAAATGAGCTAACATCTTTTAACATGCAACATCTATTTTTCACTTTGATTTTTTTTAAGCTATAAATAAATCAAATGTTTGCAAGTTATGAATATGTTTAGAATTTGTTAAAATTCTAAAGGTAGAGAGGCTAAGTATGCATTGAAAATAAACATCCATTAGTTAATCTGATAAAGATATTCCACAAGTGTTGACCTGGCCAGTTTCACTCCTGCTGTTTTGCTGGAGATTAATGATGCATTGGAGAATGGCTAAATGTTATGTAATATGTAACCTGTAATGTATTAGTGATAATAATGACATCAGTTCCAATGCTTTGCATAGTTTGTTTGGGTGTTTAGCATGTTTCCTTTACTACTCATAATCTCCAATTGATAGTTAAGATGGTATGAAGTTTCCAAGATCAAGTTATCACAAGAATTCTATTGAACGACTTGACCAACAAGCCTTGGCTAAATCCAGTACTGTCTGACGCCATGACGTCAGACAACTACTGTCAGTGACTGTATCAGTAACCGGGTAACATTATTTTGAAAACGGTACCGAAATTTTCAAAGCTTCTGATGGGAAGAAATTCGAAAATTTTACATTCCTTGTCTGTAAGTAGATTTCAGGTTTCAACGTCAGCAGGGACCTATATACTAGTATATATCCGTGACGTCAGTGATGCCACTTAATCTCTTTAGAGAAGTGGACAGACTTTAGCCCATCCAAACTGGATGAAGGCTAAAGCCTGTCCACTTCTCTAAAGAGAATAATACCTCACTAAATTGGTTGTCCTGGGGATATAATTATTTATTTAGACTTAGGAGTTGGGTTTACACATAATTACAATAGATCTATAGATCGAGTTATTTCACTCATTTGCCTACTTCTGTATCTATGTACATCTGCAACAATAAAGGTAACACTAAATCTTCTGATATCTTTATTTTAACCCAGAGTAATTTATACAATAAATTTGTAGAATAAATGCTTGAATTGTTAAAGTTAAATACAAAGAAATGCTATGTGGTGCATGCTTGCTAGAAAACAGGGTTGGATTTGGTATTTCTCATTCATTTACGCCCTACTGAGTGACAAGGGCAAATACATATGTGTACCTTGCAAGTTTAAATCTCAGTTACTTATTAGTGTCCAATTGTTGTCTGATTTTAGTGACTGTATTGAAAAGAACTCCTCCAAATAGTCTTATATTTAAAGATCTACTCGTCTTCTGATCTCATCATCAGTTTCCTCTCCCAATAAGACCCCCCCCCCCCCCCCCCCCCACGCACACACACACTTGTTTTTGATAATCAGAGAGCTCGATGGGATATACCTGCAAGTCTTTTAGTGAACCATACTAAGTGTTCCTGAGGCACAGAGGAATTTAGTTGACAACAGTATCCATTAGTGACACTTGGATATCTTCCCATGCCAGAGACTTCTATTGATCAAGTTGAAATAGATCATATTCAGGAAATTTTCTTCAAAATACTTTAATTATAGTCTCTTCCTTATTGCACAGAACAGGGATCTCATGCCACTTTTTGGGACTGGGGCTGGGGCTGTAAAAATTGGGGAAATTTTTTATCTTTTAGGAATTTTAGGAAAATCATTAATTATTTAAAATCACTGTACATTGGGATTCTTGTATTTGTTATCAACTAAATTTATGTTTTTCTGTATAGCCTAAATATGAATAAAAAGTTCAGTTATTATATATATCTTATGTTCTTAAATTGGGAGAAAATGACTATTGGGAAGATAAACTATTCAACTGAGAAAAAAGGTACCTTTTTTGAATTGGGAATGGGGCTTCTGAATGGCATCAAATATAGAAAATCGAGAGCCCTGCACAACTCCCTCTAACCTTCTGTAGTTCCATTCCCAGACTTAATTGTTACACTTAATTGTTCATTGTTAGTGAGAGAATGCCAAAGTCATTAACATAGCAATATATTATGTTAACAAGGAAGTCTTTCCAAATACAGGATTTAATTAAACTTGGCAAGATTTAGTATGATTCTGCAATATTCTTGAATGTTTGTTTCTTTTTTTCTTATTGGGTTATGAAAGTCTGTCTACATATTTTTAAAGTGTAGCAAAATTTCTCTACTTTTGCATATATATGCCAAGGGACATTTGATGAAAATGTTGGCAGTTTTGCAAGTACCACTTTCACCAGTACTTAGTCAACTGAATCACTTCTGAAAAAAATTAAACTGTGTAAGTATAGAGATGGCATTATCTTTTTATCATTAAGTAGGATGGTGAGTAAAGTGAAGTGATTCTAAAAGTGTACTGTTACATTGGAAAAATTCCCATCCCTGTCTGGCAGTAGAAAGGAGAGACATAAATACATTCATTAATTGCCCTGTGTCCTGTTTTTAATTTTACTCAAATCTGAAAGAAATGTGTGTGTGTTACTGATGTACATGTACCTGTATATAAGCTTAAAACTCACTCCTCCTGATAACTTGAAGTGAAAAGTTTATAACTCATTGAAATTATCTAATCTTTAATACTCATGTAGGAATGTGTCTTATTTGAATAAATTCTTCTAAAATTTGAACCTTTTGTATTGTCTTTAGCGAAAAAAATTAGCACTAAGAAATAGCCATAAGAATATTTTATGAGACAAATAAAGGTTATACACATTATACAGGGAATTTAATATTGACTTTCTGTAAACAGACACTTGTACTAAAGAAAGTTCAACAATAGACAATAGGGAAAAAATATTTTTGTGTTTTGATTTTTTTTTAAACCTTCTGTAATGCAATTGAGAACAGAGTTTTATTTCAAGGAAATAAAGTATTCAGTTCATCGGTTATACATATAATCAATTCAGTGAAGTTTAGATAAAATCTTGTCAAAAGAGACATTGCAAATGTTGCAAAAATATCCATATTGTAATGAATCATACGAGTCAAGCATGTATTTTATTAACATCAGGTGTATATTTTTTAGCTTTTTCTTCGGGTTTTCAGACACTGCAGATATCATTGATGAATTTCAGTTATCATTCCATATTCTGAGTCATCTAGAATCATGGATTTTATATTCTCCTAGATTAAAGAAATCAATTTCATATTCAGTGTTAGGAAGAGATTCTCTCTACTGATAAGTTTGATTTCAATCATATCATTCTTTTATTTGCTGATCAAATTATATTTAAAATGTTTTTGGAACAGAGTTAAAATTTCCTTAAAATCAAAGCAACTAAGTTATTTACTACTGTTATGTAATGCAATTTTTTTTTTAGAATCAATATTGTCAGTTTGAAGTGATAAGGCATGAAAATATTCTTTCAAGATTAAACCAGGAAATAATACCTTTCAACCCCACAAAATCTAAGATCCATGCCTTGCACTAATTAACTCGGCTATCCATCTGATGGCTCTCCAGAGAATCACCATCTTTATTCACAGTCATGTAATTCTAAGTAACTTAATGTCAGCTTTCTAATTGAATAATCAGATTGAGGAAGTACTGTATTAACACTGTCTGTTGGCTCAGTGAGGGGATCAGAGATGCCCTGTGATGGAGGAGGTTTTATACTGCAGCAGTGACCCAAGTCAGCAGCTGTTTAGGGGGTTTATCTGTATCAATCTCTGAGTAATATCTCCCTCTTTCTTTTCACAGGCATTGGTGTAGGACCTTATCTTACAACACAAACAAAGCTTTTGATGTGAAAACTAGGAGCAAAGGCAAGCTGCTATTTTAAATGAGAAATTAAACGTTTTTGTGAGGTAAAGTATTGATTTATGTGTTTGTGTTTTATGCATTGTTTACAATTACTTTTTTATCAATATTTTGTCCTCAATTTTCTGTATTGTATATAGATACATATACCTGCACTAAATGTGTTTAGATGTTTAGTAGTTCTGATAAATTACTTTATGATGTTAATCAACATGTGAAGAATGTAGATTATTTATTACTCTTGGGCATTGCCAGGTACATGTATGTGTTGGATATTTATGTAAGATGATAATTGCTAGGTTAATAGTTGTAATATTTCATTTATAGATGTATATTGTGTAGAAATTTACATTAAGCAACTACTTTCATTTTTTGCAACTTTCTTGTTCAGTGCCTTACAGGCGTTTTACTTACATTGCCAATTTTCTTTATTTCAGCTCGTTCATCACCAATGACTTTATGACACAGGTTCAATGGGGGCATGTTATTCAAAGTCAGGTCATGATGTAGACAATGCCAAGAAGAAGTCCCCACATAACAAGAAGCACAAAAATGGAATCGCTGTGACCATTGAGTACAGTCCTGTCAGATCACCAAATCACGATGAAGATAGACTGTCTATTTATGACAATGAAAGTGAAAAAGAGGACAAAATTGTCATAGAATCAAATGGAAATGTTGAAGGACAGTGCTGTTCTAAAGTGGCCAAGGACAAAGAAAAGGTTGTGCCTGGTAATGAGGGTGAAAATAGTGTGAAATGTGACCTAGTGACCTCAAAAGAGAGATCAGATGAGGTCATAACCTCAGATTTAAAAGTGACAGAGAAAGTTGTGTCAGCATCAGATAGTGGAATAGAGAGTCTACCAGCTCAGGAATCACGTCACTCTAGTCAAACATTTTGTGATAAAACCAAGCCATATCAAAACAGTGATGAGGATGAAACTCTAGCTAGCCCCAAAAACGAGATTCATGACAGTCACGGTGAGTTTACTGCTCCTTCAAGAAGCAGACCTTATCGTTTTTCTGATATTATCTATCTCAAGTCCAGTCTAAAGAAACCAGGGAGACCCTCTGGTAGATACAGTCGACTGTCCTGTAAGTCTACGGACAGTTTAGACTGGACAGCTACACTGATAAATAGCCTGGACCGGTGTCGAAGTGAAGCCTCAGAATTTTTTTGTGAAGACTTTAACATATCAGCTCCTCTTGCTGCATTTGATTCAGTAGATTTTATGAGCAGTGCAGGGTCTCTTCTGCGGAACAGATTAAGTAGAGCTAGCATTGTTGACTATAATAATGATACATTTCAATTTCAATTTGATTTTTCTGGAATAGAAGCCGAAGAAGCCGAGGCGAGCTCAGTACCGATAACATCAGAATCGCTACCATGCTCGCCTGTTCGTCAAAATACGGTCAGTCCAGATGGTGTGAATCTGGAACTGGCCGGCTCAAAAAGAGCCTCGCAGGAGCTCAGGTAAGTCCTACAGGTAATTACAAGGCAGGGATCCAAAGTCTTCACAGATAGTGTGGTGGTGTTATTAGATTTCTTGATTGAAGATACCATTAACCACAAGGTTGAAAGTTCAGTAGATTGAATTCATGTTTTTAATAACAATAATTTTTACCAATTATTGAAGGTGAAAGGCATAATGAAAATATTTTCTTCTGCATGTGATAGTATTTAATTTTTGGTAAATGGGTATTCAACTTTATATCAGCTTGAAACAAGTTTAGTTAAAGAAAACTACATCTATTTCATGAATTAAAAAAAAAAGTATTTTACTTGGACATTGCCATTTTTCTTCTAAGAAGACTTTGCATTCATGTTGTTGGCAGCCAGAATTTCCTGTGCCATGTTGTCTATCCTGCACAGCTTTATAACTCATATCTTTTACTTCTCACCCTTTTCAAGTCTGATAATATCAGTAATATGTACTTTTTTTTCCTTAGAAGTAACATTAAAATTTGAAAATGAATAATTTTAAGTAATCTAGTAGAATCACAATAGTGTTTAGTCTTTAAGAATGGTTACAGAATTAAATTATTGACAGATATGTCATTATGAACCATTTATGATAGTTTTATGTAACAAAAGAAAGCTGGATACATGTATGTACCTGTGTGTGCTGTATATATAGCTTTAGTCATTGTAAACTGTTGCCTTTTTATTGGATACCAATAATGTGGCTTTATAGTAACTTTATCATTTCTGAAATCTTTTTATATATATGAATGATCATGAGTTCCTTATTATCCATATAACAATACACAGCATCTTTTTCTCCTTATTTAATATATGGTTTTTAAGACAAGTTTTATGAAGTTCATTGGACATTTTATGTATTTAGTGTACATCAATCATCTCTGTTCACTGTTGTTCAGGTTAGTAAGTTGCAGTCGGAGTATATTGTACCCTCTTAGTGTACGCATGTTGTCATCTTATATTCTTATATTGAGTGATATATTAGAACATACACCTGATATAAGTATTTTTATTCTGTACAGATACAGATTGAGAATTTACAATGTGTACACAATACGCTGCTTAGCAGACAATGCTGTTGTATGGTTTATATGTGTCAGCTTCCATTATACCAGACAACTTGTTGTACCATGTTGTGCTATTTTTAAATATAGTTTTTAGTCTTTGGCTGTTTGACAAAATCCAGTTAAGCATATACATTGAACCTTGGTCTTGTAGAATTTATAAACACAAGTATCACAATTTTATTTGACACTAAATTTTGATTCACAGTCTTTTTTTCTTTTGAGATAACTTGTTCAGAATGGATTATTTTAAAGCTTTTTTTAACAAATCTTTTTTCTTTCATCTTTAAACATACTGCACATGCCACATGGTCTTCTAGCCACAGGAGAATGAGGAGTGGAGGAATTTGTTTTGCAAAAAAAAGATGTCTTACTCTAGTATTCAGGGATTAAACAACATCAATTGGTCATGAGTTTATATAGTATGATGAATTGAATTTTGACACGCTAACCTAATCCATGCATCAGCTCCTGTAGGCAGTATCGATTAAGTCTTCATTAAATGGAACAAATAGATAATCAATATCTTCTATAATCATGATAATGTATACAACAGCCCTTCAGACCAGTATGTAGATTCAGTATCATGCATAGTTATTATAATTAATATTCTACAACATTGATTGTGATCAAAATTTTTAGATACACATTTCCAAGTATATTTTTTCTAATATATTCATAGTTTTTTGTTATTGATTCAGTTTTGACTAATATTCTGTGAATATGTTTTTAACAAAGTCTATATTCTAAGAAAAGTGGAGCTATAGCTCTATGAGATTTATTGGATCACCTTGCAGTGCATGAAGGACAAATAGTTGTTATCCGTTACTTTGTCTATCTGTCTGTGAATCAGCAAGTAGTCACACTTTGTCCAAAAAAGATGACACAATCCTCAGAAAATACTAGTTTATCTTAAACTATCTATAGCTTCTTATTCTGCTTTGTTTTCTGTGCTTAGGCCAAAGTCCATCATGAAAGTGTAAGTAAAGAGGAAATGTTATGCATCATGGGAATGTCAATCCCTATACCCAGCTTTCAGATTTAGATTTTATGCATTATCCAACTAGTACCTTTTTAAGACTACAAAGTACATGTAATAGAAACCTGTGCTTGAAATGCAGTGTGATATAAAAAGCATAATTTAAGGACAGAAACCAGCATGTAAAAATAGTTATCATGGCATGGTTTCCCAGTTATACATGTTCTAGTGAGGATGTAATGATGGAAACTATAAATGTTAGCTTTCATCATGCCAATCTTTAGGGCCCTTAAAGTCATTTATAGTTTTTGATACCCCAGTTATCCACTAGCATCAGTATTTTGAATTTTTAGTTTGATTTGATACATACTTTTTTTGTAGATATTACTGTCACAATTAATAAGTTGATAAAGGATTTCTTTGGGGGGGGGGGGGGGGTCTCAACTTTTTCTTTGATTTATTGAACTTGCACTAATTCTCTTATCTCAAAATATTTGGTTTCATTTCAGCATTAAAATTTGAACTTGCACTAATTCTCTTATCTCAAAATATTTGGTTTCATTTCAGCATTAATATTTGAAACATATATTTTTTGCCTCTAACGTAAATGCATGTGTTTGATGGTTGAACACCAGAATGAATACTTGATGCATGGTTACACATTTTAACACAGACTTAGAGTTTTTTGCACACTTTGTTCTTTTATTTCTTTCTGAAACTTGCAAGCATTTGAGATCTCAATCACTTTTCTCCAGAAATATGTTCATAAATACTTAAAGTGACAATGTATGGAGAATGTAAATTTTTCTTAGGTCCAATCTGATAATTTGTGATTAATGAGTATTTGTGCATTTAATATTCAATGAGTAGACCTTTATTTTTTACAGAAGATTTGATTCAGAAGCTAGTTTAGAGTTGACCTCCACATTTCCAAGGTTAGAGGAAGTGAAGACAATGCAAATAGATGGGAAAGATGTTGTAGTCATTGATGTGGAAACTTATGTACATATCATGGAGGAGCTTGCCATGCTCAAGATGAAGCTCAGTCAGCTTACAGACTTCTTACAGGTCAGATTATATGGTGACAAGGCTGAAAATGCAGAAATATAAGTTTTGGACCTTCATTTCCACAAGAAAATTCCAGAATTGCTTTAGAAACTTTACATACTTACGTTAAAGGACTGTCATGGGGGCACATGATACATTCAAACCTCATTATCTCGAACTCGATAAGACCAAGAAAAAAACTTCCAAGAAATCTAAGGATATTGCGGGAGATTGTAGCCTTTGTAGTCTGCACAGCTGGAACAGAATCCAATACTTTTGTTGTTGATTGACTTGTAACTGCAATTTGATCCCCTCAATCCACATTTGCTCCTACCAAAGTTTCTGAAAATTTGCTCTGTCTGCTGTGTGAAGCTCCTTGTTGTGTTCTGTTGGTTAAATTAAACTTGATTCGAGCTCTGATCCTCATCTTTGCATAATTTTCTGTTTCAATCAACCACCAGAAACCTGGCCCATTGCACGTCTTTGGGTAGACTCATGGAATTGACTAGGGCTCCTCTCTGCAAGTATGCCACTTGTATCATAACTTAAATGGTTAAGCCTTCTGGGGATATTCTAAAGTTTTCGGATTTTATGGTTCTTTGGCCAATCAGTGTCTGGCTACCAAATCAGTTTTTACCAAATCTGGGGATGTAATATTGGTTGTATTTGTTGTTTTGAAATTATTTCCCAGAAATAAGTTTTGCCGTTGTAAATTGTTGTTTACTGTGCTCTGATCAGTTGCTGAAGAGTCCACACCTATTAGTGTAAGTACTCCTGAAGAAATTAATCTAATTAAACCCAAGGTCATTGGGCAAGTTCAAGTTAGTAAAACTTTGTAAGAAAGAAACATTGAATGCAACAGTTTAAAACAATTTGTTGGGGTCATCATTTTGAGAGCTCTCTCACAGTACTAGTAGTTTAATTTAAATATATATATAAACCACAATGCATTTGTATATTCCTAGAATTAACATTACAGGAACAAGACTTGCTGCAGCTGGATTCTTCAAAAGAGAGGGCTGATATATCAAGTTTGAACCAGTCTATAGAAGACCTAATGGACACAGCTTCTTTGAAGAAACCTTAACAAGTAATCTTTAATTGAAATTCTATATATAAATCTATAATTAAAAATTAGGTCTGCTCATTATTTTGCATTAAATTTTATGACACAGATTACTGTAAAATCACATATTTTCGTGGGGTCATTTTTTTGTGGTTTGAAGAAAAAATACTTGTTGATGGGGATTTGATTTTGTGGATGGAGAATTGCTAAGTTGTTATTTATTTGAAATTATACATTTTGTGGAGAATATGAATTCCTGGGTCTCTTCATACCACGATAACAGCAAAAATTACACACACCCAACCCCCCCCCCATGAAAATTGGTGATTTCACAGTATGTGACAAATAACGAAGGATTTCCATGTATAGCAGTTTACCGCAGACAGTCAAAATAAAATAAATTACATAATTTTATCTTTCATAATGGATTATTTAAAATTTTGATTTAATTAAATTATTTTTTTTAGCGGTGTAATTCTTCGAGGGAAAAGTCATTCCATTATAAACCTCATGAATCATTCAGCATCATACAGCTTGAAGTGGAAAGGATCCGTCCTATAGAAGTGCTAATGGAAAGCTGAACTTCTTTTCTCCCTGATAGGTTCAGATCTTTATGAATTTCAGTATTTGGATGCAGATAAGAGACTTTCTAAATTGATGAGCAGCAGGCCATCTACCTGTATTATGTTAAAATTAGGGATTTATTTTGTGTTCCCTTCTGATTATTAACCCAGAAATTTTATTTTTATTTTTTTTTAACTTAAAGAAACAAACATAAAAAGAAACACAGTATCACATATATTCATTCAGCAGATGATTTTTATTTTAAATATTTTATTTTTTGTTAACACAGAATGTGGCCAGGAATAATTTTGCATACATTTCTCAAAAATTCTGACTAATAGTGTTCTTTGTCTTGTTACTATATATCATGTATATGAGAGCACAGTTTTATTACAGTTTCAGTAGGTTGGTATATGCACTTGACTAAGGTTGTAGATGGGAAAAAAATCAGAGCTGTGATTTAATTCTAATATTTAAAGATGACTGCATATTTTGTTGTCATGTCATATTAAAGACTTACAATGTGTGGAAGGTATTAGACTCTAAAACACTTGTGGAGAGTGAATAAAAAAAAAATTAGTATGATTTCCAGTACATTAATATATGAATAGATTATTTTTAGCTTAAAGAGAATTGATGAACAATCATGGCAAGCATTCCTAATTGCATATATAGTGTAACTAAGGTCTTTTTATAGCTTTATCTTTTATTGTGTTTGTTAGTAAATTTTAAATATTGTGTAGTTTCTATTCTGTTGTAAAAGGGTAAATTTTCAGATATTAATAAATCCGAAATCAGGATCTAGGCTTAGTACTTTTTAAATTTATAGTTAGGTACATAAGTTAGTCCACAGCACAGTTAGATCTAGTCACAAAAAAAGATATATCCGAGAAAATGATATTTATTTACATAAATGAATGATTTTTAAAGAACCTAATCGATTAGATTTATAAGGTATATAACAAAAAAATAGGATACTATATAATGAAATGCATTTAGGAGGAGATAACTCTCCAAGTTGCTTCCTTGGTGTTTTATAAATATACTATAGTTTAAGGTTTAAAAGGAGTATTAATTTATTTGTTTTAGCATTGTTAGTTATCATTTTGTGTTTTTAATATGCAGAATTTAGCTTTTTGTTCTCTCTTTGCATAGTTAAAGTGTGACGTTGGTGCATACCTCTCTTTCAAAACGCAATTTCATCATGTGTTCATAATTAGTGCAAGTACTGTGTAGTAAAATATTTTTCCACTATTCACTATTTTGTCATTACTATGTTAATTCTTTTTTTTTGCTAATAATAATCATGCATTATAAATTTAAAACAGAGACTTTCAAACAGAACTTAATACTAAGTAAGTCGTGATATATAACGGAACTCTAACACTACCATTGAAATCACAACACAATTTTGCATTGATAGAAGTAAATCAAAATTAAATGAAATGTACATACAAGGAAATATATATTCTCACATGCTTAATTACCATCCTTTTTTCTTTTGTTTAAACATTATATTGCTTTATTTACCCTTTATGTTATATACAGTGTACCAGTGAAGATTCAGTCCATATCTCTAAACTATATGAAAAGTACATGTGATTCTATATATTTTTTAGGTGATTTTTCTTTTAAATTTTAACAAAAGTAATGTACATGGAGACTGAAAATAATTTGTTGAATTTTAGGGTTTTTTTTTAAGAAGTCATATAATTTCTCTCAGACTATCACATAGCTCTGTAACAAGTAAAGAGCATAAATAATTTGATAATTTGGTACAGTATAATACCCAAGTACATGTAAATGTTATTTTGTTTTTTATTCAAAATGTAGTGCTAATGCTGACCATACTCATAGCACAGTTATTAATTGATGCCATAGGTTTCAGTACATGTACAGCTTTAAGTCTTTGACTAGACAGTAATTGTGAAATAACATACTACATATATCTACTTTCCCTAAGATGCCAAAACATAACAGAAAAGTTGAGGATGTGTCATAGTGCATGTATATAAATTTCTGTAAATCACAAGAATTGAACCAAAAGTCAGTCCCTGAATGGGAACAATTTTAATTCACTGGCTGTTACTTTGCAGATTTCTTTTCATACAAAATTATTCACCCCACTACCCCTCCAAATATCATCTCTTGTAAAGATGTGGTCACTTATTGAATGTATTGTAATTCATCCAAGATGGGATTTTTTCAGCTCTTCTGAGCTCAAAGAGGTAATACTTTGGCCATTTGTGTTGTGTGTCAACTTCTTGGAATATTGGCCATATCTCAAGAACCCCTTGATCAATAATTGTCAATTTGTCACAGAGTATCATTGGCCCAGAGGGATTTCAGAGTTTGTTAACCAAAAAGGAGGTGACCTAATTTTGGAATTTCACAGCTATATCTAAATATTTTGGATGATAAGAGGCTTAGAATCACAAAATTTTGTCAGATGATGCATCTTGGGTTCTTGGAGTATTTCGACCTAAAAGTAGGTCATGATGACCTACTTTTGAAATTTTATGGCTATACTGAAATACTTGAGTATTTCTTATTCTAACTGGCTTAGAATCATCAAATTTTGATAGTTGTCAACTAAAAAGTAGGCCACAGTGACCTACTTTTGGAATTTCAAGGTTTTATCTAAATATTTCAAATAAAAAGAGGCTTAGAATCATTAAATTTTGTCAGTTGATGCATCATGGGTTCTCAGAGTGTGTTAACCAATAACCAATATGTAGGTCACAGTGACCTACTTTTGGAATTTCAAGGCTTTATCTAAATATTTCAAATAATAAGAGGCTTTGAATCATCAAACTTTGTCAGTTAATGCATCTTGGGTTCTCACAGTGTGTTAACCAAAACGTAGGTCACAGTGACCTACTTTTGGAATTTCATGCTTTATCTAAAGATATAGGATACTAAGAGGCTTAGAAGTTATAGGGTTGTACAATTTATCAGAAGAGCGATTCTAGGCCATTAGGCCACTTGTTTATTCCTTGTTTTCAATTTATATTGTAACAAATAACAGCTACATTTTTGTACTGGTTCAATTTTTTTTCACTGCATGGGTATTCTTTTTTTAAAAAAATCTCTGAATATTAAAACACAGCACAATGTATACAGAAAAGTGGTGTGTAAAAAAAAAAATGAAGTTACAACTTCAATGCTTGTCAGTCTTATTTTTTAATGAAATCTGGAAGAGAAATTATTATACAAGCATTTTTATAGAAATTTTATGTTTTATTTTGGAATAGATAAAATAAAGTATTGTTTTATTTCTGATGTGTTGTTTTGTAATATTTTTGTGTTGTATAATGGCTCTGTTAGTAACATCAACTGTAATTGCAGAGTTATTAAAAGTTTATACTAAAGCAAATAAAGAATAACAAATAACCTTGGACCCCCCCCCCCCCACACACACACACACATTACCACCACAAAATGGGGGTTTTGTTTGTTATGCCCCGCCATGAATATGGCCAGGGCATATAGTGTTTGTCATGTCCGTCTTCCGTCCTTCCGTCACACTTTGCATTTAGCTCTGTTCAAAGCTCAGTTTCAAAGAAACTATCCAAGATATTTTTATCAAACTTCATATGCTGATAGATATTGATGAGGGCTATGCAACTGCATCAACATTTCTTGACCTTGACCTTTCCTTTGACCTAGACCTCACTTTTCTTAAATTAGTGTTTAGCTCAGTTTTAAAGATACCATTCAAGATAGTGTAATCAAACTTCATATGTTGATACATACTGATGTAAGCTATTCAACTGCATCAACATTTTTTGACGTTGACCTTTCTTTTGACCTTGACCTCACTTTTCTTAAATTAGTGTTTAGCACAGTTTTAAAGATACCATTCAAGATAGTGTAATCAAACTTCATATGTTGATACATACTGATGTAAGCTATTCAACTGCATCATCATTTTTTGACCTTGACCTTTCTTTTGACCTTGACCTCACTTTTCTTAAATTAGTGTTTAGCTCAGTTTTACTGAAACAATTCAAGATATTTTTAACAAACTTCATATGCTGATACATACTGATGAGTGCTATTCAACTGCATCAATATTTTTCACCTTCGCCTTTCCTTTGACCTTGACCTCACTTTTCTTAAATAAGTTTTTAGCTCAATTTTAAAGATACCATTCAAGATAGTGTTATCAAACTTCTTATGCTGATACATACTGATAAGATCTTTTCAACTACATCAACATTTTTTGACCTTGACCTTTCCTTTGACCTTGACCTCACTTTTCTTAAATTAGTGTCAAACTTCATATGCTGATACATACTGATGAGAGCTATTCAACTGCATCAATATTTTTTTACTTTGACCTTTCCTTTGACCTTGACCTCATTTTTCTTAAATTAGTGTTTAGCTCAGTTTTAAAGAAACCATTCATAATATTTTTATCAAACTTCATATGCTAATACATACTGATGTAACCTTTTCAACTGCATCAACAATTTTTGACTTTGACCTTTCCTTTGACCTTGACCTCACTTTTCTTAAATTAGTGTCAAACTTCATATGCTGATACATATTGATGTAAGCTCTTCAACTGCATCAATATTTTTTCACCTTGACCTTTCCTTTGACCTTGACCTCACTTTTCTCAATTCATGTTAAAATGTTGCATTACTAATATACCCTTGGCGGGGCATTCATGTCCTATGGACATATTTCTAGTTTTCTTTTTTTGTTTGTTTGTTTGTTTGTTTTTCTTTTTTTTTTCTCTTTTTTTTTCTTTTGCTTGCTTGTCAAGAAATCTCTGGGTTGGAATTATTTACTGGGGTGGACACACACAACAACAACCCCGGAAATAAAATTCCTGGATTCTCTCTCTCTCTCTCTCTCTCTCTCTATATATATATATATAAAGTGGCAATTAGAAAAATTATGTGAAATACAGAATCTATGCAGATTCTGCATTGCAGAATTAGTCCAGAGTTGAGGATTTCATTTGAATATATGATTTAACAGAACGTTGTTTTCAGTGTCCAAGTAACTGGCGAAAAATAATGAAAGGTTTTCCTAGTTGTTCTATTCTCATACAAAATATAGCTACCCACAATAGTACTCCAAACCTTCCACTAGCTCCTTTTTTGTAGTCGCGTGGATCCAGCAACCATCAAAATAAAGGAGCTAATGGAATGTTTGATTTTAATCAGACTGGTATTTTACCCTGGACATCTCGAATGCTCGGATATCTTAAAGTTTTTTCTCGGCCCCATCGAGTTTGAGATGACGAGGTTTGACTGTATTTTCCCTTTTGATTTGACACATATTTCAGGTTTCCAATGGCAAAACATAGACACTGCAATTTTCAATAATATTGAGGGGTACCCATGCATCTTATTTCCGCAACTCCTCCTATACCACTGAATAAAATTTAATGATACTTTCATAGAATCTATGTTACATGGTGCCATTATGCACCTCTCCCATTGCCAAACGTGGACTTTGCCATTATAAACATATGGTAAGCGGGGGTATTATTTTGTGAGCTCAGTGCTCTAGTTCCTCCAGTTTGTCTTTAAAATTATACATGTATTTAGGTTGAACTTAAATTATAACATAATATATAAATTTTGCTTGAAAAGGTGAGGACTACAAAATTTCTCTGAGAATCTATGAAGATCTTGTTAAGAATTTTGTTTGAAAATATTGGTTATAAATAGCACCAGGGTTTTGTTTTAAACATCCATGTAATTGAATGAAAAATGAAACACGTATACTTTTATTGTAAGAACGCTTAATACGTAGAAGCGTGCCATTTAAAACTTCCTAGTAACACTTTTCTACATATGATGTAGATAGTACCCACAGAATACCCCCCCCCCCCTTTGAGTCGTTTATTAGGGGACTGATTGTACTTCCGTCACCGATGATTCCCCATGTGGGTTGAGGGATCATTACTCAGTTTCCCTGCCAAATTCATACTCGTCTGAGTTTCCTGTTTAATAAGTATTTTACCAGTCAATCTCAAATGTCCAAAAACTCATTTCGACAATTCATCTTGAAATTTTAACAGTGTGTCCTCATTTTTGTGTGAAAATTTATCATATTCAAAGTAAAAGTAAATAGGTAACCAATCTTTGAATAAGTGCTCACTGGCTGGTATCAATAAAAAAAAAAGGTCGTTAATGAAAGCAAGATCAGTATGACATCTGGGGTAATGCGAGGATGAAAAGAACATTTATTAAATTGTTAGGATAATTTCGAAAATTATTTTCGATTTCGATGTTGTATTATATCATACCTCATTATAATTATTCTATACAACACGTTATCTGATTGGTTCTAGACAGTCACGTGACAGGGCCATAAAACTTCATATTTCCCTGTCGTCGACATGCTTTTCATCATATTCAACCTCTTCGGAGACTTCGTGCATTTATCGTTCGTTGAAGGAAAACTCCGGAGAGCAGCTGACGTCAATAAATTTATAAAAGTAGAAAGATTACATCTCTAAAGCAGTGACAAATTAGCGATCTTCTTTCAAATAAGAATAATTTAAAAAAAAAAAAAAAAAAAAGGAAATCGAAGACAATTATCTGTGAAGTGTCCAAGGGACTTCAGTAAAGTGTTTCGGTAACTTTTTTTTAAATGAAAGTGAATTTGAGAACGGTGCCGAATTTGAAAGTTTGTGTTTATTTTTTTTTTAAGGACTTGGCTTGTTTCGGTATGATAAACAATTTATTGCATGAATGTTCGGGAAATATGAAGATTTATTCATCCAAGAAAAATCATAATCCCCGAGGGCGAAGCGTGGCTTCACGTATGTACGTATGTACAATTTCTAAAAAGAGGTAAATTATTGACAAACAAGTTGATGAAACAAGAATATCAGCTGTCTCGTTTAAAGTCATCATTTCGTAAGTTCTATGGTCGATACAATGACCTTGTCAGCAAATACAATTTATCATTGAGTCAAATGCTGACAGACGTTTTTCATACTAATTGTTAGGCCATTATTTAAACACTGAATTGTCGACGGATTTTTCCATTATTTCCCGATCATGACAAGGAGCACACGGCGGGTGTGACCGGTCGACAGGGGATGCTCACTCCTCCATGGCACCTGATCCCACCTCTGATGTTTGGAGGTCCATGTTTGCTCTGCTCCTATTTTGTATATTGTTTGATGGACTTTTGAGCTTGAATACTGTTCGTTATCTCCATATATTTCACTTCATATTTCCCGATGCTAAGACAAAAAAACTCTGTACTTTTATATTAAAAATATATGATTTAGTCTATCCTCCATGATTTTTCCTCATTTGTACCATTATTATTATATCTATTATATGTATCTTTTTTTTTCTTTTTTTGTTCTTTTTCACTTTCATTTTCTGAATATGTATATCATATACTTGTACCTCTGACCTGAATTTATATGTTGTAAATATTTTTCATTGTCCTCATGTACCATATATTTACATGGTTTTGAATGAATAGATGAACATGAACTTGAACATTCATGCAATAAATGTATTTTATATTGCATATTGGGCTTACACTTCGCCCAATATAAGTTTTTTCAAGGACTCCGGTCACTTATTTCCGTAGTACCCCTCTAAAAGTGTGTACATAATAAATATCCTCTTAATGACAGGTCCAGGAGACAAGCTGCATGAATATGATTCTGATTTTAGTCTTGGAGTTTCCAGGTAGGACCAAAATGGACATAGCCAGAAAAAAAAACGATGTTCAGGTGACCGTCAAGGCCCATGCGCCTCTTGTTCTATTACAGAATTTACTTTTGTATGTAACATTACAGACAATCAAAATACGAGATAAATACCTTATAGCCATCCGTCCCCCTTTATATTATGACCCCATTTCCCTTTCCCGATGATAATCTTATTTACATGGTCTCTTCATATTCATCTGTTAAAATTCGCATTTCGGATGTTCTATTTCCGTCATCATCATTTTAGATATTATATTAAGAAAATGGCAAAAAGGGACATCATAGGATTTTTACAGTCTGTAAGGGCTGGTTTATTAAATGTAAGTATTTTTTCATTGTTCAGTTCAGATATGTATCCAACTTTTCAATTATGGAACTTTGCTGCTTCTCTTTTCACATTAATCAGGGAAACTGATGTGTATTGGGTTATCTCGAATTTCCTCTAAGTTTGTTGTCATTATGTGAAACAGGCAAGCATACCAAATTAGAAAATAAATTTAGCCTAATATAAACAGAATGGATTCTTATATACTGAAAGATTTGAAGTTAAAAAAAAATATTTAATATACATGTATTCGAATTCCCCATGTTTCGCGAAATCACTGCTGAATGTCAACAAACTTGGAGGAAATTCGAGATAACCTAATACACATCAATTTCCCTAATTGTAATAAATTAGTTAATTACACTCTAATTTCATTGAATAATATAAAGGAGATATGAAGAAAACTAATATTAAGGATATCTTTATTAATTAAAATAAGGAAAGTAACATATCTTTTGAAATTTTTAATAAGTTTGTAGATAACGTTAGCTAGTTTATAGGCGCCTAATCATTGTTATACATTTTGAAAATTTTGATTGGACAGGTTGAACCTTTTTTGTTATTGCTGCATAATAAGCTAGAATAAACTCAAATGTCAAGCAAGGTATATTTACGTGTGTTTTTGTAGATAAAACACCCTGATAATTATTTGAGATTTCAAGTTGGAAAGGAAGTAGCTGCAAGGTATTTATAAATTAATGCAATATATCTTCCCTGATGTACACAAGAAGATTTTCCTATGATATGAAGACATTTTAAATGTTTTGAAACTATTTAAAAAAAATTTTACCTATCAAACTTTTTCACATTTCTGTAGAACTCAGCCTGCACCAAACCTTCCAGATGGCCCAAGTCACAAATTGTCTGCTAATTACTATTTAGAAAGAGATGCTCGCCGCCTGGTGGAACCACCAGAGGAAATCTTGTCTGGAGGACAAAAGCTCCTCCCAGATACAGCTGCTTCAGAGGGAAAAGGGTAAGATTTCATCACCTATCCTAATTAACACAAATCTACTCTGTTTTCATGTTATCTATTTCCACAATTTGTATTTTTTCATGCAACACCACAGGAACTTGATGTTTTGATGGTGTAACCCCTTCCCCCCTCCATACCCACAAACACATACACACCTTCTGAGAATTTTTATTAGACATTATAACTTATCAAAAATTCATGAATTCATTGCCTATCATACCTGTTTTCTTGTTTAAATGATTTATTTTCTTGTGTTCGTTAATGATAGGCATGGAATTCATGTATTTTTGATAAGTCTTCTTGTCTAATATTCTCAGAAGGTTGAGGGTAGGGTTCGGTTGGGGAGGAGAGTGTACCATCCATGCATCAGGTGCCTGTGTCCAATACTAGTACTTGTAAACTCTTGAAGATTTTCATTTTTTAAAATTTTTGATCTTAACGTAGGTCGCGGGTTTGCTGACGTCGTTAAAACTGGGTACGCAATTTATATGATTTGGGCGACTTTCTTGTGCACATTTGATTATGACGTCACAATGAAAATGAAATCTGCGATGATTTTCGTTTTACTAAATTCTTCAGTATATCATTATTTATAGTCTTGGACAGATTATTTATTTTCTTGCCCAGTCGAGAACAGATTATTTATTTTCAACATTTTCGAGGACAGATTATTTATTTCCAAAATCTGTAACCCCCCCCCCCCCCCCCCCCCCCCCCGAAATGACCATCCCCTAAGCAACAGCTTGCAATGCTGTAACCTACAGATTTTATTCGCTACTTTGCTTTCCATGTCCAACAAGTAGAATTAATGTTCTTAAAAAAAACTGGCTGTTGATTATGTCAATAAAATTAATTTTGAAATCCTTGTCCCATTTACCCCACTGAAAATGTGGTATGTAAAAATAAATATTTTGTTTAAATATATACTGAAAATATATTGTATTTAGCCGGGACGATATTTGGCAGAAATTCGTAGATTTGAGCGCCTTGCTGAATGGTCAAAATAAAAACATTTTATATACTTGAATTACTTGAATTAAAGGATACCGTTTTCTGCCAGCACGCTTTAAAAGAAAAATACACAGCCAAATGTAAGGATACGTCTAATCAACGAAAAAAACAAAACAAACAGAAAACAACACATAAAGAAAGTAAATTGGAAGAAAGAAACTAAAGGATTGATTGTTGTTTTACGTCCCTTGCGAGAATTTTCACTAATATAAGACGTACAAAAACCCTAATCTGAAGAGAAACATGTCTAATAATCATTTCATTGATATAAAATTATTATGATACGATTCACGGGTCACTTGAAAGCAGACAGACGTGAATTTCTTTTTTATGAAAATTATTTTAGCGTATTTTTCTGCACCGAATACCGGATAGATATTCACGACGTCAAGCATGACGTCGCGATATTTTATGACGTCGCTCTTAAAAATGTTACATTTTGCGATATAAAAGCAATTATCCACATTTAAATTACACGAAAACTAACCCGAAGACATATTAATTTTTTCACATTGATTTATTTCAAATCAATTCTTTGTTAAAATACCAAAGGGAAAACAATTTCGTCTGCACCATTTAAAAGTTATTGATATTTTTTTAAACAAAATCTTGCCTCAAAATGAGCCGAAAACGACGTTTTTCTTATATAATTCAATAGAATAACGTCGAAAATGTAACGACAACAATGGCATGTTTGGGATTTAATTACACAAAAACGATGCAGACGAATTTTATAAAATTTTCAGAGAATATAAAACGAACGTAGAGGATTCATATAACTAATTTTCATGGTATGTTTTCGGACACTTTTAAATGGCCTGCAAACCCGTGACCTACGTTAATTACATTTATTGTCATTGATTTGTGTCCTTCAATACTTTTGAGAAATGTATCAGTTAAAAGTCATTTTAGTGCATTGAATGCACTGGGATGTATTTAGGGGTAAAATTGTTGATTAAGTATCTTTAAAAAATCATGATAAAATCTGGAAAAAAATATCATGTTGGAGTTAGGCAAAAAGATGAAACAAATCTTATGAGAATGAAAATTAAAAATCATGTTATGGTAACTTTTATATCTTGTGTACAATGATTACTCTATTAATATACATGTAGTATCAAGTCAACCAGACAAACTGGTAACCACATTGAGTCCAACCTAAATATAGAAATTTTTGCGAATATCTTTCAAAATGGTTCTTCCCTTATTGTTTTTGTTTAATTTCAACAGGACTTTTTACACAGGTAGATGGCACTAAGATACATAATTCTGTTTATCAATTTTTGATAATGACAAAACAGTGTTGTCATGGTTACTGAGAATATAAATATCTCTGTGTAATTTCTCCTCCTTCAGTTAAAATCAAATTTCAGTAAAACTTGGTACACAGGTAGATTATACTTAGATAAATAATTCTGTTCATTGGTTTTTTTATTTAAACAATAAATCGTTTCACAATAACTGCAATACTGCTCTTTTGCAGGGCAAAATGAATATTAATACTTTAGTGAAAAATGATGTAAAAGTAATTATTTAATTTACGTCATTTAATAATCTGTCAACAAAAATTTCTCCAAACATTATTAATTTGCCCTGCAAAATTGTAGTATTGCAGTTATCGTGAAGGGGCTAATTGATGTTGCCATGTGTTAGCATATTTAAATAGAAATTTCTGTGAAATTCTTTCAAAACATTATTTCTCCTACAGTTTTGGTCAGATTTCTAGACTTGGTACACAATTAGACTATACTAAGATGTATACATCTTTCTTTATTATAAATACACCAGTAGAGCTACAGTATCATCAGAGACTTCTGGTTATTATTTACAAATTCAGTAAAATTATTTTTTTAATGTTTTCTTTTTAGCCCACAATCCCCAGGATACAGAGCAATTACACCTGGAAACCCATATAATCCAAAGTCTATTCAACTCCCATACTAGATTGTGATTTTGTTGTTTTTATAATAAATATAACAGTACAACTTTCATGATTTGTCATTTTTATACCATGAGAATATTGGTGTATACTGGTGTATTTGAGAAATATTGCTAAAAATAATAATAAAATTTTATAGTTTAACAAATAAAGAAAAATGTGGATTATGTCTAATGAGAAAATTTTGCTTATCAAGCTGGGTAATTTTTTAATCAATATTTTTGAAATAAGAAAAACTTAATTATATAATGTTAAATTAAAACACATAAATGCAAAAGAGTAATAATATTTATTTAATACTCTAGTTCAAATATACGTTACAAATTCTCCGTACATATGCTAATTATGTACATGTATGTTTTGTAAGCATTTATTATAGGTAATCCATATCTGCTAGAGTCATCATAATCTTCTTTAATTAGTTTATCTTTTATTTATTTTATTATTATTATTTTTTTAATATCGACATGTTGCTGCTATCAGTTTTGAATTTCTTCTTATTTTTGTGTTATTCTTCACTTGTATGCCCTGAAGGGCCCCAAATTTTTTTCAATAAATCTCATCTATACCATGGCCGGGGGAACCGGGGGTGGGGGGTGGACCCCCAATAATTTTGTCGATATATAGAATACTAAAGAAAAATTAGCTTCCATATGTTTGTGCACCCCCTCAATATAAGACCGCGGAACATTAACTGGCAAAATTGGAAATATACAGCTTACGTCCTTTCCATCTGTTACAGTCAAAACATTTAATGATATATAATAAAACATGATGAAATGGGCGGGTACAATGCGGCACGGACGTCCGAGAAAACATTGGATTGAAATTCTAGTTTGAAATTCATTTTCAATCCACCTGAGCTGTTTTCAAACGCAGAGTGTGAATGTGTGATCCAAAAGACAAATAATTTCAATTCCCAAATACATTTGTTGTTTGAAATTCATATTTATCATTGTTTTTATGAGTTTTTAGCTTATAATTTTAAGGACATGTAAAAGACATAGAAGACAGAGATTATTTTTTTCAGGGTTGGCTATTTGATTCTAGAGGGGGGGGGGGGGGGGGATAGTCGATTCAGATCATGCTTTCACATGACAAAATATATTTATTTCTAAGATGACACTGAAGAGGTATTTTCTTTAGTTTTGTCTTCACTGAAAAATGTTTGACAATCAAAAACAGGGAGGGCTTGTCCAAACGAAAAAAAAACTTTCTTTTTTATTTCCAAGATCGTTCTTCCCGCCCGCCCCCAACATATGCATGCACATACCTAACAGAAATCAATGTTTGTCCCTTTATATTTCTTTAAACACACTGGTCAGAAAATCTGATTTATATATTTCAACTTCAAATTATTCCGAAATTGAAATTATTTGTCTTCTGGGTCAGTCAGTAATTCGATCATTGCCTTCTAGCGTAGCTGAGGTGGATTGAAAATGATTTTCAAACTAGAATTTCAATCCATAGCTTTCTCGGACGTCCGTGCCAAATTGTACCCGCCCATTCCATTGTCTTTCATTGTAACAGATGGAAATGATGTAAGCTGCATATTTCCAATTTTACCAGTTAATGTTCCGCGGTCTTAAATTATGGAAGGGAATTACCGCCAAAAGTCTATTTATCTTGCTTTTATTCTTATTCTGCTTCTTCTTTATTCTTTGTTATTGTAACTATATGTCACTTTATTGTTTTCATATTCGTCTTTATTACATTTCACTTTGAACTTTTTTCATTCTTCATTTTGTCCTTACTTGCATGTTGCTTTATTCTTGTAAAATCGTTCTTCTTTCTTTTAAATTGATGCAGTTTCTTTAATAAATAATTATGATCATCTCTATTACAAATGTAAATTCAGTCACGCAAACCATGAAGCGCATTCAACGAAGACGAATACAAGTAGTGTGAATTTAATGTGGCATTATAAAGCTAGGTGGCAGGGTGTTCGCTGCGAGTGTTGGTAAAATTGGGTACGCAAACCCGGGCCGAGGTTATTCGAGATTTTTCAAATTTCTGCCTTTATACTTTATCAATCGAACCCAAATTTTCAAGTTATGTTAGTTATAGGTTTATTTGTATACGCGGTAAAATTGCCCCGAAATGCTCAATATTTTAGATTTTCTCAAAGAAAATTATTTGATTTCCAAGTTTTTGGAAGGCAATATCAAGCTGACATTTTTTTTTTTTTTTTTTTTACAAAAAGCTAATAAATTTATAAATTATTCGGATGCTAAACATTATATTTTAACTATTTATAAGCCTTTCTTCTTTCAAATGTGCTTTTGTTGCTTTAAATAACACGTTTTAAGAAAGTCTGGGTCATTAAAACCAGACCAATGATGAAAACTCCAAAATAATTGTGTATTTTTCTGTCACCTATTCAAGTTATTTGTTGGATGATTGAATTTCAGTTTTATTGATATTAAAAAATATTAAATATTTTGATAATTACTAGTATACCCTTATAAATTGAGTTGTTTTTCAGGACCCCTATATATTCTTCCACTGAACTGACATTTCTTTATTTCAGGATAATAACTGTTCATGCGCAGTCGCTTGATTCTGGGGACCGCGGGGCTAGTCTGGTTTCGGCCAAACCATAATGCTCTGCAAAGTAGTGCGGAACATCATGGGTAGGCCGGAACCAGGCTAGACCGAGGCATACTAGAAATTTCCCCCGGTTTTAATGAAAATATGTATTAATTTTTTGTATAGAAATAGCACTTTTCAATAAAGAAATTAAATATCTCTAGTAAGCACACAGTGTTTGACATCAGAATAACTCAAAAAAAAATATTTTGTCAATGTCTCGTTCGGCAAAAATATGTAAAATGTCCGCTTGATATTGCCTACCCATCTTAGCAAATTGGAAATCAAATATCTCCAAAAATAATCTAAAATATTGAGATTTTCAAAATATAAATACATGAATATAAATATTGGCAATTTTTACAGCGAATGCAGATGAAACTTAGAGACGTCGCATTGTTTTTGAAAGGGGCAGCCAGAGAAAAAAAATAACTTACCTAAAAATCTTGACAAGCAAAAACAAAACAAAAACACAAACAAACAAAAACAAACAAACAAACCAAAAAGAAAACAAACAAACAAACAAAAAGAAAAAATACTTCAAACTCGAAAATTCTATTTGGGGGGGGGGGGTCCAACTTCTTTCAGTACCAAATTTTACTCATACGTCACTACGTACATGGCCCTTATTTGACTAAACTACAACAAAAAGTGGGAGGGGTCAACCAGACATTCAATGAACATTTTCATTAGTAAAAAGTTATGGCTAGAAAAATGTTTGGTGGCCAGCCAGCCCCCCCCCCCCCCCCCCCCGCTACCGGTATCATTTAGTGAGACTTACCCCATAGTCAATCGCATCATCTCGGGTCTTTCCGTAAGAGGTCGGAAAAACAACCTCGAATGTATTAACACCACCGGATGTTAAAATTTTATACAACTTCCTATTTATTTAAATATAGGATAGACGGAGTTAAAAGTCCCTTCTATAGTATATTTTAGGTAATATCTTTACATTCAATAAAGTTAAACTCTATACTCCACAGATAAGAGGTCTTCCCACATTCATTTCAAAGTTTGTGAAAAGGGGGGTTGTCATGGCGTCTACGTAATACATTCGAGTTTGTATTTCCGCTAGACGGAAAGGCCCGAGAAGTTGCGATTGACCCCATAGTGAGTCTTCCCCCGGAAGTCTGGCTATATAAAGAGACTTCCCTTCCGGGGGGGGGGGGGGCAATGACTATATAGTGAGCCGACCATAGTGGGACTTCCCCTTCCGTGTTTGGTTTGGATTTTATTTACATCGACGATGTATATATTGCATATTTAGGTAATGATCTTATATATATATAAAAAAGATGAATAGTTTCAAATGAATCAATATAAAAGTGCGCATTAAAATTTTATCGTGCACAGCAGATTATAGTATTGTTCCGAGACGATTCTTATCAAAAGAAAAAAGACATAATTAGTTTAACAGTAAAGAGGTCATTACCCGTAGAAACGTGCAGTTTACCTATATGTTTACCTGCATGGTTAAGAAGTTTTAATTGTAAAAATCACAATTAAAATGTTTTAATTATTTATTCATATATTTATTGATTCATTCATATAGGAGGGATAACTTTTATCCAAACACTGAAAACGTTAGTATAAAAACATTGTTTTACAATAAAAAAAAAAATATTCGGAAACTAAATCAAAGGGGGAAGTTTCGCTATGAAGGGGGAAGACTGACTATATAGTGAGACTTTCCCCTGGAGAAGTCTCACTATATAGCTAGTCTTCCGGGGGAAGTCTTACCACCTAGGCAGCCTTCAGGGGGAACGACACCGGATACATGTCAGAACCTATAACATACATATTTGAAAATTTGGGTTCGATTGATAAAGTATTAAGGCAGAAATTTGAAAAATCTCGAATAACCTCGGCCCGGGTTTGCGTATCCAATTTTACCAACACTCGCAGCGAACACCCTGCCACCTAGCTTTATAATGCCGCATTAAATTCACACTACTTGTATTCGTCTTCGTTGAATGCGCTTCATGGTTTGCGTGACTGAATTTACATTTGTAATAGAGATGATCATAATAATATTTATTAAAGAAACTGTATCAATTTAAAAGAAAGAAGAACGAATTTACAAGAATAAAGCAACATGCAAGTAAGGACAAAATGAAGAATGAAAAAAGTTCAAAGTGAAATGTAATAAAGACGAATATGAAAACAATAAAGTGACATATAGTTACAATAATAACAAAGAATAAAGAAGAAGGCAGAATAAGAATAAAAGCAAGATAAATAGACTTTTGGCGGTAATTCCCTTCCATATTAAATAACGTCTGATGACCTTTTGATTTGTTTTGATTTTTGCTTGTCAAAGGATTTTTGATAGTGCCCCCCCCCCCCTGAAAATGTATGATTATGCCCCCAAACTGAAATTGCTTTCTACGGGCTTGTACATACAGTCAGTTTGGACTGAGAGACCCAATCCGAATATCTAATCCGGAATCGATTTTGTAAATTAGTTCGAATATATAATTTCCAGTTTGCAACATGAATGTAAACAAACATTACACAGTAGGCTTTACAAGTAAGTAAACAACAGTTATCTGTGACAGGGACGTATATATAGTATATATTTCCCTGTCTGTGAGTAGATTTGACTTGACAAATCGGTGTTTGAAGTCGTTGTTAAAAATGCCTGTCAGGCTGTCACCAGAGACGTAAATTATTTATGTCTCTGCTTCCTTTAGGAGGAGGTCGTTATCAGGGCCATACAGGAACTCCTTAGGTACATGTTCATGTATGGAGCTAAGCTCTTCAAAACTCTTTGTTCTTTCCCAAAGTAATAAAGATTCTAGAAGGGATTTCGTCTTCAAAAGTTCTAAATGTGCCTACGTAGTTAGAACTGACTTTGGGACCATAAAACTTAGATGAGCTCACTTTTGATCTTAGTCTATCTTTTCCACTATCTATAATTCCTTTTGTAAAAGTGAGACTAAGATCAAAAGTGAGATCATCTAAGTTTTATGGCTCCGGAGCCTGATGCTTCTTTCCTGTTAAATAATACACAGTATACACATTTCTGTTGTACCTTTGAACTATAAAGCAACTACAGGTACATGTATGTTTCTCTATACAAATTCACTTTAGAGGAAGTTCTTAGAAATTAGATAGGTCAGATTACGTAAATAGATATAATTCTTAGTACCAAGAGAGAGAAAAGGGGGTGTGTCACGATCTATATATATATATATATATATATATATATATATATATATATATATATATATATATATATATATATATATATATATATATATATATATATTTAAATTTACTTTCACAAAGAAAACAAGATGTGTTTGTGAAACACTGATGCCCCCGTATGGCAGCTTATGGTGAAGGTTAAAGTTTCTTCAAATGCAAGTCAAAATCCAGGCCAAAAGATAAAAAATGTTGATACCCAAAGAAAGGTCTTGTCTCAAGGAATACACCTGTGAAATTTGAAAAAGTTATGGCGAAGGTTAAAGTTTTTTAAATAAAAGTCAAAGGTCAAGGTCAAAGTGGTTGGTATCCAAAGGAAGATCTTGTCACAAGGATTACATATGTGAAGTATGAAAGCCCTAGCATCAACCATTCAAAAGTTATGGCCAAGGTTAAAGTTTTTCAAAAGTAGGTCAAACTCCTAGGTCAAGGTCAAAAGGTCAAAGTGGTGGTTGGTATCCAAAGGAAGGTCTTGTCGCAAGGATTACATATGTGAAGGATGAAAGCCCTATCTCCAACCATTCAAAAGTTATGGCCAAGGTTAAAGTTTTTCAAAAGTAGGTCAAACTCCTAGGTCAAGGTCACAGGGTCAAAGTGGTTGGTATCCAAAGAAAGGCCTTGTCACAAAGAATACACATGTGAAGTTTGAAACCCCAAGCACCCAACTGTTCAGAAGTTATGGCCAAGGTTAAAGTCTCATAAAATTTTGTAAAAGTGGGTCAAACTCCAAGGTCAAGGTCAAAAGGTCAAATATGATGGTACCCAAAGAAAGGTCTTGTCACAAGGAATACACATGTGAAATATGAAAGTCATAGCTCCAACCAATCAAAAGTTATGGGCAAGGTTAAAGTTGACAACAGACAGACAGACAAACGGACAAACAGACAAACAGATAAACAGACAAACAGATAAACAGACAAACAGACAGACAGGACAAAAACAATATACCCCCGGGATCTTTCGATCCGGGGGCATAATGAAATGTTCAGGCTTCCAAAAATAGTGCATCGATAAAAGTTGATAATGAATTCATAGGAGTGAAACTGTTCACCGCGGTATATTTTCTCGGTTTGATACACGGTGCAAAATCTTTAATTTTCGGTTCGGTTCATTTTTCGGTCGGGGTAGTTATTCAGTCGGGTTTGGCATAAGGTAAAACACGTTACTCAGTATAAATAAGCATAGAAAACTAAATTTTTGATGAGAGATAGTTTGTAAAATAATTTTTGACAGTCAAATAACTCTAATCAATTTCTTCCAGTCAATTTGCAAATAAAAATTAGTAAATTAAGTGACTAGATTTAGTAAAAGAAAGAATAAAATAAGGTTGAATTTGTTTCCTTCTATTAAAATGTATCGTATCGAAAATAACCGTGCCGAGACAAAATTATACAATACGTATCGAACCGTGAAGGAGGTGTATCGTTTCACCCCTATGAATTCAGTGCAACATAAGGTAATTGGGAGTAGCACAAAGACGCTCAGTTACGTTTATTTAGAAAGTGGAAGAACATATCATGCCTCCTTGGTTCGTAACCTCCGTGGTTGTTTTCTCTTTTATTTTTATTATTTTTTTAATAACCAGAGCGATTTGTTATAAAAATGAAAACCTTCCTTATAACTGAATCATTTACAACAAAATGTGACACCTGATCCGGCTTGTTTTCATTTTATATTTAAGTAAACAATAGTGAAGTAATACATGTACCTCGTCGTACCCCAATGGAGATAACATGACTATTTCTTATATTGCTTTATAAATGGGGTATTGACTTATTATAATACTTATAGATAGGTCATAAGGTGGGTCAAGTGTCTAATTTTCGGACTACTGCAAAGTAGAAACTGTAAATGCCGATTTGAGGATGGATGGTACTCGAAGGAAGGATGTTTAAGGTGGTTCTTTTGGGAGAAGCCGGTGTTGGTAAATCCTCCATATTCTTACGACTTAAAGATAATGTCTTTGGGGAATTTCTTCAACCAACTTTGGGGATAGAGAGCTGTTCAAAGGTTGTGAAGATTGATGGTCAAAATATCACAGTAAGAGCATTTCTTGTTGAATTATCGATTGTATTCACAAGCACCACGTAAGCTTAGTGATAAAGAAATTTAAGGAAATAAGCACGATCATAAAAGAATAGTTTATACTTACAACTTATTTACCTTATGAAATATATTAACGAAAAGTTTTATTAGTTTTGCATCTGGGATACAGCGGGAGCAGAAAGATTTAAAACCATCACCCGGAATTACTACCGAAACACGCACGCTGTGTTCTTAGTCTTCAGCTGCAATGATCCGGCATCTCTCCATTACCTATCACAGTGGGCAGAGGACTGTACCAACCATGCCCCAAAAGGCAAGAACGCAAAATCTATCTCAATTTTCGTTTTGTTGGTATTCATTTTTAACCCCACCTCCAACCAGAAATAAAGAAAGAGGGCGTACAAGGCGAGGACAATCCCCCGCTCTGGGACAATATATTTCTCAATTTTCAAAGTTCACGGAAAAGTTATATTTTTCTGAAATAATGTTCTCAGTAATGTCATCTTCAACACATTTGATTCAATTATTTTATTGAATGACTTTTTGATTGATAATTTGTTATTAAAGTTGACAGTAAAGCATATTTAGAGTGGAAAATGGGTTTATTAGAGCCATAAAAAATGATTTTTGAATATGAATGGGTCAAGTCTCCATTCTTCATTAACGTTTCAATGACGGAAAAGTAAATGTAAAATCTATTTCATGTTTCAATAAAATGGAATCTGAACCCATTCTATATGAAAATCGAACATTTCTGAAAAAAATTTACGCTTCAACAAACTCGTTTATTTAAATCATACTGACACACAACAAGAAAAGCAGATTTCGTAGCGTTGTGGTTAACGCGTTCATTCTTACGCCTAACCGTGACTGAGCTTTGGAGGGAGTTCGAATCATGCGTGAAGCTTTTTTTTTCTTTTTCACTAGGGGTGCAACGATACACTAACCTCACGATACGATATGTATCACGATACATGACAAGGTAAAGAAGTCCTTCACCCAGTTAAATCTGAGGTCTGTAAGATGCTGGAGATGAGTTTAATTGCCGTACTGCGTTATCGTCGACCTCATGTTTTGCGCGGAAGCAATTTTGAAATTGTAAACGAGGAAACAAAACGGATGATTCGCAAGTTCTGGACCGATTGAACCGAACCGTGATATTCAGTTTAGCGTATCATTAATTGAACCGAGGAAAAATATATCGCGATATACCGACGGTCAAACGGTTTGTCGTTGCATTCTTATTTCACATACCTTAAAAAAATTAGTGAAAAATAAATTGTCAATAATGTGTTCCACAAAATATAGGAAGCAAGTGTGTAAAAGATTATATTGACAATGTAATTTTTGAAAATTATGACATTTCATGAACTCTTAGAATTGAAAAATGTCTTCTCTCAGAGCGGGGGATCGCCCGCGCCTTGCACGCCTTCATTCTTTGATTAGCACACAGGCTATTTTCCCCCTTTCTTTATACAGTTCTGGTTTTGCACTATACATATTGTAAAGATTGAAATCATGTCCAAATTAATAGCTTGACAAGAATTACTTGACAATTTTTTTTAAATCGAAGAACAGTCTTCGATCATTTTCTTTTCAAAATACTTCTATTTTTACAGTCGTGTATTGATACATTTAGTTCACAATGATCTTCCGTTTTCGCATGTCATCACCAACACTGGAATTTTCACTACTTTTCTATTATTTTCAGCTTTAAAGTTTCTTATTGGAAACAAGTCTGATTTGGAAAGATTAATTCCCGTTGAAAATGTAGATAACTTCGCCACGGCTTTTGATTGTGAAAATACTTACTTCATAAGCGCTAAGACAGGTAACTTTGAGGATAATTCAGTATAAAGTCTGCATCAAACAATCAGTTGACCTCACAAGAATAAGTTGACGCATCAGGATACATATATATGTATATACTGTCTTAGTATCTCTGTAACTTTATTCTCAAATTTGACAGTTTTGCAACTGGTATTGAAAAAAAAGGGAAGGGGGGGGGAATAAAAATTTTAGAATTACTAGGTCACCTGCGTCACTCAGGGCTGCGTTCAAAATTGTAATTGCTAACCTAGCAGCTAGGTGTTAAATATCTATCTCTACTGAACGGACAGCTCACCTAGTCGCCAAGTGTTAGGTTTAGGCTTAGGATAGTAAAAACATTTTTGGAACCAAAAAAAAAATATTTGAAGCGAAAATATAAATGTAAATTTACATTTAATTCGCTAAGATATAGAAAATAGTAACCCTTTTTGTTAAAATCTTGTTTGTTGCGAAGTTTCAATAAAGGAGGCCCTCTTGGGTTTGGTACTAAGCTTCATATATTTATGCTAGCTCACCATACGTAGCGGCTAGGCTAGCTCGTAATTTACGTAGAGGCCACGTAGCCACCAACTTGAACGCACCCCTGGTAACCTATTGCTATATGTTTTTGACCATCGTTGGCCGTCAATCGTATACTCTGGGATATTTTCACCTTGTTTTTTTTTTTTGGAACCACTTCTCTACTTTCAACCAATTTTGGTACATAGCATATATGGGTAATGGGGATCATAAATTGTGCCTTGAATTTCAAGCCCCCACCCCAATTAATCAAAGGATGTTTTGCTCACAGACTATTTGAAACTGGTTCAGTATTATATATATTTTAATATTTAAAAAAAAAAATATTTATGATTCACCACACAGCTTAGAAGTCCTGCAGGCAAAAACAAACCAATGGGTATAATCCTGTACTGTTAATATTTCTAATTTTAGGTTCTGGAATTGAAGAAAGTTTCCAAAGAATTGGCGAGAGACTCATGGATGTTTTCAATACTCCACTTGTAATTGAATCTCAGTATAATGAAACTGTTGAAATCACCAAATTCCAAGCACCTAAGAGTAGCTGCTGTCAGTGACAACATTTGTTTACCATACATTAGTTAAACTTCACATTGAACTGATCATTACATTCAGGATGCATGTAGTTTTTCTCCATTTCAAATAAACTGTAATTCTAGGTAGTATCTCAAAACAGTAAAGGTTTTGTTAGTATAGGCACTCCTTTCCTTTAGATGTACAGTGTACTATCAATTTTGTGAACATCAACATTATACTTTTCATAGTGTGATATTATTAAAAAAAACTTTTTTCTTTTCTTTTTTTTATTCTTGAAATGAAAGGCAATACAGATTACCCTATTTTTAAACAATAGATTTAACTCTCAGACATGATTAACAAACAGCGGTGAACATAAACCATGGATGATCAACCAAGGTTGTCAGTCTCCCCATCAGCTGATCATGTCTTTTGTTGTTGCTGTTGCTTTATTGCTGCTGTTGTTGTTGTTTAGGTTTTAGAATTAAATCTGTTGTTAATCTTAAGTGTCAGTTATGGTAAATCGCACTCTCAATTAGGAACCACATTCTCCAGGTGTGGCTTATGTGCTGCAAAAGTCTCCACACAAAAACACACACACTTCTTCATCATCATCATTTATCATCATCATCATCTTCTTCATCATATAAATAGTAAGATTTGGAGACTGTAGTGCCATGGGTAATTCTGCTTCCCTGTCATTCCAAGAACAATGGCCTGTATAAAAATAATTGCATTTTATAATAAACTACAAAAATTCATGCTAAAGCAGTAACTTTTTCCTGCCCTGCTCTGAATCTAATGCATAATAGGTAAAAAGCTATCTGTAAAGATGAAGACAAAAAGATAACATTTTTTAGCAATACTAGTACTATACATGCTATTGGGTTCAATACTCAGAATAATTGACATTCCAAACTGGACATTCACTTTACAGTACCAATTAATGAATCAAATGGTCTATAAAAAGCAAGCTGGTATTTTAATAAATCAGATTTCCCAGTAAAGTCAATGGAATGTGATCAGGTTCCTATGTTAATCATAGATATATATACATACCACATGTGGCCAAATGGCTACCTCAGTCGCCGAGCCTCTCTTTCTGATTCCAGTAACGTCAAAATGTCGCCCTCACGAACTGGACCCTTGACATTACGGATAATGGAACGGTTACTGTCATCCAGAAATTCTACTCGCACCTAAAATATGTTGATCATGCATTATTAGCTATATATCTGGCATAATTCAATTGGTTTAATCATTGCATTCAACTGTAACTGTTGTATTGTTTCAACAGGATTCCATACAAACACCTACTAGAAAGCTCCATTTTCTCTCATTAAAAGAAGTACCGGTTAGAAAATAAGACTCCACACTAGCATTAATTTTGTCACCTTACCATTCCAACCTTTTCATCCGGACAACCTGAAATTGAATCTAGGTTGTCCAAGTGATGAACTTGTGTAGATTCGAGTAAGAGGCAAATATTATGACCTACTGCAAATTGATGCATTTCTGAATTTGCACAGGTGCAGGGATTCATTCCAACATGCATACATCTGAACTCTTAAAAGCACCACCACAATTTCATTCCTTTTGTAGCGAATCATTTGCAACAACTGGACACCTTATTAAATTTACTGCAGCGTTTAAAACTTTTTCATTTGTCTGATCAAATGGCGAGTTCATAATAGAGGAGTGAAGACCAGGCCAGAATTGTCAAAATTTTTAAATCACTATCAGACATTTGGTCTGACAAAGTCAAATGTTCTGTCAGACCAGATGAAATTTTGTCAGACCAGATACATTTACATGTACCTTACTTTGTACACTGAGAAAGGAATAACTGCATTAAAATGCCCTTTATTTTCAGCAGCATTCAATCTCTCAGTTTCTTTTCTTAGGATAGAGTCTTTAATCAGAGACATAAATGATGATAAATGTCCCAGCTTCAACAAATTTTATCGACCATTGTCACCACGCAGCCTTGTCTGCTGTTTTAATGACCATCTCTGCTGATTTTGTGACCTTCACCAAAAGCACCCCGATCCAAATCTTTTAAAATTTTAAAATTTGCATCACCTCATTTTTTTTTGAAAATGGTCATTTGGACCGATTTTTCTTGTGTAAGTTATCAATCCAGTCAAATTTTTACCAGCCCTGCCTACAGGACTGATGGTTTTCAACAACTCCGAGATCCCCTGAGAAGGTAAAGGAGAGTTTCTTTGAGTGACCCCCTCATAACCATGTAATTAGAAGTAAATCTACAATACTGTAAATGCTTCCATGCATAAAGCACTCAACACATCCATTATGTTAGTCCATGTAAAATTTGTATTACCATTACGCACATCTGGTAAAATGTCACTTGACGAATGCAGAGATATATGTATATGCTATACCAATTCCCAACGAAGTACAATATTAGCTCCAACTTGTGCATGGATATGGAAGTGACATTATCAAAAAAACATTTACTTGACAAAAAGTCATTATTAACCAAACCTTTTGATTTCATGTGGAGTATGCACTTCAAGAGCTTTTTCAGTAAAACTTTGTCAAGTTAAAGTGGTCATTTTGCCGGACTGAATGTCCATTTAATAAAATTTAAAATTATACCTGTGTACACTGTCCTTGTGAGCCTGTGCGACCAAGCACCTTCAAAACCTGGAATTAAAAACATTTAGACATCAGAATTTCCTATTTTTTTCTTAATTTCCAAAAGACATAGATCCATAGCAGGGCCTGGGAAGGGGCCTCACCATGCTCCATATGTGTATACCCTGAAAAATAGTGCAATGCAAATACAAGATGCGAGCATGCATGATTTTCTAGTTTGTAAGTTCATCACTTTCGGCACTATTGGTATTCTTCATCAAAGTTAGATGGAATCTTACTACATACTAAAATCAGAACCGACATCCACTGGCAAAGAAACAAACTTTTCCTCCCATGTGGATCGTAAGAGTTAACTTGAAGTTGTTTTGGACAACTGACCACAGCTTAACGAAGTCACACATATGGAAAATACTGTCATTCCAATAACAGCTTGTCACTTTGCTTGAATGAGCGTGTTAAACTTCATAAATTGATAACGATATTACTTATCAATTGGATGTTGATTTCAATGAAATTAATGCTATTTCACAACTAAGACACAGAGCCCAGCAATACCACTGACAATACTGACCAATTGTGTTGAATGAATGTTCATGAATAAGCAGTAATACAACACTAATTTAATTTCAGCCAACCTAAACAAAAAATATCATTTCCTTTAGTCAACATTATATACTATGATTTGTCAATTCCTATCACACCTTTTTTTTTTATTTTCCTAAATTTTGTTGTCAGAGATGGCATTATACTGCACTGTGATATATTTTAGGGCTGGGACGACATATTGAGATATTGATTCTGTGTGAGGACGATATGCATATTGATAAATTATTCTTATTTGTGAAGAAATGTTTTCTTCATTTCAATACAAAAAAAAAAAAAAAACAACAACAACAAAAATTATAACAAATTAAATATATTCTGATAAAAAAAAAATTATAACAAATTAAATATATTGTGATACATATCTTATCGTGGCTCAAATATTGTGATACGTATTGATATAAAAAAGTTGTATCGTCCCAGCCCCAATATATTTTCTCAGCCCCTAAAATTTCAATATGGGCCCATCATGTTATGAATAGTGGGGCCATTGGCCCCACCTGTTGTTTGACCTTCCCAGGTACTGCTACAGAAATTCTGTTGTACCACACATACATGCCAACTTTCCCGATTTTTTCGGGAGTCTACAGATTTTAACCCTACCTACCGCTTGTCTATCGATATATATTTTTTAATCCCATTTCTACCGATTTTTAGGAATTCCGGATTTTTTACCGATCCGCTTTGAATAATACTGCATTTCCGTGTGAAAAAAGATGGCAGTTCGAATGTTTATCGTTAGATATCTGTTTATTGCCTTTGATAAGGCCAACATTTTTTTATTAAATGATTTACAGGAAATTTTTTTGAAAAATTGGGTTGGGGGGGGGATAAATAAAAATAAAAATGAAATTCCAATTTTTACACAGTCGACTAAAAAAATAAAAATAAAAATGGAAAAAGTATCTGAATTTTTTATTTTCAATTATTCGATAAAAATTGCCATATACAGTGTGGAGCTTAAAATATGATTACAGCAACACAAAAATTAAAGTAAACTATTAAACCCTTATGAGAAATGGGGGGGGGGGGTTCTAAGGAATTTATCAAAATATTCATCATCATCATGACCACAACAAGATGACTCAAGAAAAAAAGTTTATAATGAGAACCTCACTTTGCTCAAAGTACTGAAAAAAAAAATCATGTACCAACAATTCAAAAATGGAAAATATTGTTAAAAAGAGAATCTCAATACAATATAAAACCCGGAAACATGATTTAAACCTGTGTTTTACAATACAGCATATGTTAATGCATATGAACAAACTTCTGAAAGCTTGAAGGTATTAACACAAATACCATTTCGTTTGCAGTGTCTTTTTACATCTATTCAATAACTATTTACATGTAACACACAACAAAATACATATGAATTTCCAGTCTGTACAGTGCCGCATATGATCTTTTTAAAATGTTACAAGTTTGAAAACGTTTCTTGGATATACATGCAAGCTAGATACCTCACATTTTATTCTTCACAGAATTCGAACGTCTATTTTCGATTTCCATTTTTTTTTTATCACTTTCATCAAAGGTATCAAAATTGGAAAAGAGAACTACTGTAACTTGTGTTTGAAGTTGGCATGTATGACCACATAAAATAGGGGAGTGCAGAGCATGGTGCACTAATGCACCAATTAAGAAGTTGATGTAATATAGCCATAATAGGCATTTTATTATGGTCATCATAAGCCAACAATGTGGGCTTTATTAATAATTGTAAAAACGAAAATTCTTGTCTTCCTACAGACTAACCTCAACAGTGTACACTCATCCCCCCCCCCCTTTCTTTCTACTTCAGCTTGTCTTAAATTTTTAGATCGTAAATCAACTATACTAGCGTTCAGTAAAAGGACTAATTAACGTATCTGAACATTTTGGTAGAATTTCATTCATAAAATAAAGTTAAGAATACACATACTTTAGCCAGCTTCACTGGTTGTAGCTTATCCATGCTTGGATTATGGACAAAAAAGGACCGGAACAGGTTGACACGCACGGAGCTCAAATAAATATAAAGTGTATCTCGATCCCGATCAAGGACACAGATACAAATAAGAAATGTGTAAATACATGTATTTGATGTGAAAATTGTAGACCTGATTTTCTTCTATTCTGAATTGAATTTTAAACTACCTGAGGATGCTTCCATATCAATATAACAAATGGCTTTGCGGTTCTTGAGTAGAAGATTTTAAAAAGTTTTTTTCCTATATATTCCTATGTAAAAATTTGATACCCCATTGTGGCCCCTCCCTACCCCCAGGGGTAATCAGTGGAACAAAATTTAATCTACACTACCCGATGATGCTTCCATATTAATATGACTAAACATGGTTTTGCTGTTCTTGAGACAAAGATTTTTTCCTTTATATTCCTATGTAAAACTTAGATCCCCCCTTGTGGCCCCACCCTACC